GAAGCCGGAGATCCTGAAGGATGCTTCGAAAGCTCGGGAAACCTCCCTCACCCTGAACAACCTCAACTACGGTGAAAAGTTGGCCGAACAGCTGCTGAATTACTCCAGGCAGATGGAGCTGACCTACAAGAGGCTAGCTGAGCTGGAGGCAAAGGAGAGCACCGAGGATGCCGAGTTGAACAAGTTTCTGAAGTATGTGGCCAAGAAGAAGCCATGGTTCCAGCAAGCCCGCTCACTGATCTTGCGTTGCTGCGGTGTGCGAGTTTTGTTGGATCTGTGTGCGGAACACATGCTTGCTAAGGCAGCAGCAAACGGCCTGCAGTCTGGATTGAAAGCAAAGAAGAAGAAGGCAGGAGCCAAAGCAAGCGCCAAAGGTGCTGCTGCGAAGCCTGCCGCAAAAGCGGCTGCTTGATGATGATGATGTAGGTTTGGGATGCACCGCACATGACGTTTATCTTGGGACGATTGCATTCTGACGTGGGGTAGACTTGCCAGTAGGCGAGCCCTCGCTGGGACGTGCATGCGCACTTGACAGTTTGATAGTGTTCATTTGGGAGTCTTCCTGTTGAATGCAGAAATATGTAAGCTGCATGAATTTGCAAAGTTAGGGTGCATGTAAGATGCTCCTGAGACAAGTGTGCTATGCATGTCACCGAATGCCTTGCGAAAGCTCCTTTTGGGAACATGCGCAGCTGCCACGATGGCAAAAGCCGACGAGATCCGCAGTTCGTTCTGCTGAAAGAGTATGATTCATGTCATGCTGGTTGCTTGCAAACACGGTCTCTTGTGTTTGTGTGTTGAATTCCGAAGTTAGATTCTGCTTCTTGGCAGGCCGTGCTGATGATGATCGATCCAAGCCCAGGCTTTGCCGTTTGAATCGTCATGTGCTTTGGTCAGTTCATGTTGCTGTACTGCCATGATGCAGGCCTACATCCTTTCGTCGGAGAATGAACTATGAATCTATGCCACATTCTCATGCAGCAGAAGAGCTTCTGGATATGATTGGGAGTGGCAAGGCCCATGTGGCACATGCTCAAAATTTGGCGCAGGCTATGATTCGGGATGGGATTCCAAAGGAAGCTGTCTCTGCTTTTGCGAGCCTGGGATCATTTGGGCAGCATCCTTCGAATGCTGAGCGTGACCTACATAGATGGCTGAAAGGTATCTTTGGAATGTGCTTGGAACCATACTATATAGACTTGCTACTTGAAACGGAGGATGTTGATGAGGACGCCGGGAAACCTTTGACGGCAACCAAAAGGATTCCTGTTCTCCTACCACACGAGATCTTCGCTGAGCTTCATTCTTCAAGTGCGTATCAGGTTCCGACCGGACACAAAACACCGAGGGAGCACAAGACTAACCTTTTGCGACAATCTTTTCTCGTTTGTTTTCACGCATGTCTCTTTCCGTGCGAGTGGTTCTAAGGTTTGTTGGTGCATCTTGTTACATAATATGACTCTTTGTTCCCTGTCAGTTTGGTACGAGCATGCTGGGGCACCAGACACCGAATGCGATCAAAGAATTTTGGGAACATTTGCAACGGTTTGCGCCGATGGATATCAAGGGTCATCCGGCTTTGGAGAGCTGTGATCTCTCCGAGCTTGTGCCGCTCCTTGTTCACTTTGATGGTGCAGAAATGTACAGGAATGCTGAGTACAACATATGGTCTTTTTCCAGTGTATTTTCTTCTATGCTGGATGTGGATTGCATCCAAACTCAATTCTTGTGTTGTATCCTTCCTCATATTGCGATGGAAACCAAGGAGGCCTGTGGGGGATTCCATTTGAACTTCGTATAATGTGTCATAGAAGTAGAAAGTAGAATACATTCTTCTTATAAGTGACTTAAGCCATTTCCCAGGTGAAGGACCACGTGCACACTGAAATCGCGAAGCTCATGAGCTGGTCTTTCAAAATCCTTCAAGAGGGTCGCTTTCCAGATCGTGGGTATTATGGGGAAGAGCTTCTTGAAAAATCGAGTCGGGGAAAGAGCCGCGGGCTGCCCCTGGCCGGCGGATGGAAGATTCTTGAGCTGCAGCTATGTAAGATTTTGGGTAGCCGGTCTGAGTTGCAGGTCTGTGCTGTCCGTTGTGAAGTGCATGTAATTCTGCAGGGCGTGCTTCTATGGATTTCGCGGGGACCAGAAAGCGAGACGGGAGTGTCATTTCTTTACACGGCACTACAACTGCAATCTGCTTTGCGACCAATGCGTTGCCATCAAACCATCAAAGAATATGGTCCGTGGGATGAACTACAAGAACTTTTCTGCGAATGCTCCTTTTCTTCTCACGACTATCAGTCACGAAACGTATTTGAACACAACTTCAGCGAGTGACCTGTCGCCTTGGACGGCGATGCCAGGCTGGAGACTTGAGAATACGTTTTTCGATTGGATGCATGTAGTCCTGCTTGGAGTGGGAAGAGATGCTGTTGCTGCCGCCATCAAACTGATGGTCATGCGGGGACTGATTGGCTGGGATACAAAGCGAGCAGATCTGAAGATGTTGACACTTTGGATCAAGAAAGAATACAAGAGCCGGACTGGGTACCTGGGCTTTTTGAAGAACGCTTTTTGGTTTTCTTCTAGTAGTTGGCTTTTAGCTGTGTTCGTTGGTGCATGTATCATGATTTCCACCCTGAAGGAAATCCTTCTCTGTGATATCTTTGACCCCTGCAAATGCTGGCCTGGATCCTTGGACCGAATACCCGGAGCTCGGGACAATTTTCAAGGCTGCGCAAGTCAAGATCCTGATCTGGGGAATATCGAGAAAACTCCAGGAGGTGGTCAAGCGCGTTCAGGAGTTCCATGTTCCAAAAAATTCCGCATTCCCCATGCTGTTCTAAATTTAACTTTTTCTTTTGCATGCATCCATCTATCTCTCAGTGCCTCTCTCCCTTTCTCTCAATCTCTCTTCAACTCTCTCCCTCTCTCTCTCTCTCTCCCTCTCTCCCTCTCTCCCTCTCTTGCTCTCTCGCTCTCTCGCTCGCTCGCTCTGTTGCTGTTCTCTGTGCCGCAGGATGAGGATTTGGTGAGAATGGCTCTGGCAATGCGAGGGCTCAGTGAAGCTCAGAGTTTGCTGGACAACGGCGGCTTGAAGTTCACTGGAAGCGAAGCACGAAAGTTCGATGAAATGGTGCACTTGCATTTACGAACGTGGCAAAGGCTGGCTGTGAAATTCGAGGACCTCCTCATCCCTTTGTGCAACATCCGGCCCAAACACCACTATCTACAGCATCTTGCTCGGTATGTGCTGCGGACCCGAATAAATATTCGGATACACCAAAACTTCGATTCTGAATCCTACATGGGGAAAATCAAACGAATCGCCTGCAAATGCCATTCGACTTCGATGTTGCTGCGAGTCCAGCAGCGCTACATCCTGTACTTGGCGTTGCTCTGGGATCGAGCAAAACGAGCATCAGTTGGTGGGGATGTCAGGGCAAAATCTTTGGAAGATATCTTGCTCTTGGAGGAACGAAAACCTTTCAGTAGCAGTGCTGAGAATGCGAAGCGACGATGCTTGCGAGGCTGAACGGTGCGATGGTCGCAAAAAAACGGCTCCTGGCCAACTGATGGGGATCGTATTCCTGGGCTTTCGAATGTGGGTGCATGTTATGTTTCGAAAGTTCATCTGATATTCATCTTTCTTCGAAGTTCAGAGGCCTTTGCGGTTTTCTGGCCGACGTGGTTTTTTTAGTCATGAGCATTCAACCATGCAGGTCATATTCAGGATCCTCTCGCCCCACACAACCCGACCTCTTAAATTAACGATCGCCGACAATCTGCGGTAAACAGTAGAATAAGTACGCAACGAAATCAGGGAACCATCATGTCTCGCAACGAGTCTTATGCAGATGTGTGTGTGTGTGTGTGTGTGTGTGTGTGTTTGCGTGTCTGTGTGTGTGTGTGTGTGTGCTAGACATGCTCGTCCCGCATGCAAAAAACATGTCACACATCACATGAAGACCCAGACAGCTATATAGCAACCTAGAAACCAGCCGCCGTATGTTGCAAACCAGTCGAAAGAATTTAAGTAAGTTACTGATACACATAGATGTGCAGATGATATGTATACATATATATATATATATACCCCATATGACCCTTAATGCTTTTGGCTCAAATGTTGTTGGTGCAACTTTGCGCCAACAACATTTTCAAGTGCTGGCTCCTATATATCTATCGCAAGCAAAGTAAACGCCATGAGCGCAAGTAAACGCCATCAGCGCAAGCGTTTTTTGCATCAGCGGACGCAGCCACTGTTTTGAAAACACTTTGCATGCATTATAATGTATTATGGCATTTGCTGTTGTTGCATGGTCGCGGCAAGTAAACGCCATCAGCGCAAGTAAACGCCATCAGCGCAAGTAAACGCCATCAGCGCAAGTAAACGCCATCAGCGCAAGCGTTTTTTGCATCAGCGGACGCAGTCACTATACACATACCCCATATGACCCTTAATGTCTTTGGCTCAAATGTTGTTGGTGCAACTTTGCGCCAACAACATTTTCAAGTGCTGGCTCCTATATATATCGCAAGCAAAGTAAACGCCATCAGCGGAAGTAAACGCCATCAGCGCAAGCGTTTTTTGCATCAGCGGACGCAGCCACTGTTTTGAAAACACTTTGCATGCATTATAATGTATTATGGCATTTGCTGTTGTTGCATGGTCGCGGCAAGTAAACGCCATCAGCGCAAGTAAACGCCATCAGCGCAAGTAAACGCCATCAGCGCAAGTAAACGCCATCAGCGCAAGCGTTTTTTGCATCAGCGGACGCAGTCACTATACACATACCCCATATGACCCTTAATGTCTTTGGCTCAAATGTTGTTGGTGCAACTTTGCGCCAACAACATTTTCAAGTGCTGGCTCCTATATATATCGCAAGCAAAGTAAACGCCATCAGCGGAAGTAAACGCCATCAGCGCAAGCGTTTTTTGCATCAGCGGACGCAGTCACTGGTTTTGAAAACACTTTGCATGCCTTATAATGTATTATAGCATTTGCTGTTGTTGCATGGTCGCGGCAAGTAAACGCCATCAGCGGAAGTAAACGCCATCAGCGCAAGCGTTTTTTGCATCAGCGGACAGCCACTGTTTGGAAAATACAATCGAGTCTGCATGCTATGCCTGTCTGCATGGACAAACGCCATCAGCGCAAGTTGCCATGAAACGCCATCAGCATAATTACATTGGCATGCATACCATGCGTATACGCTGCGTATGCAGCGTATACGCTGCGTATAACCAGCGTATACGCAGCGTATAACCAGCGTATGGCATACGCCGACGCTGGAATTACGCCAATGCAATTTGTATACGCTAGTGTGCAAAACACACCTTCGGATCCTTACGGCATTGAGTCTTATATCGCCTGGTGGGATTGCCGGGCGAGAGGCAGAAATGCTAACCTGCTCGCCCTGGTGTCCTATTGGGACTCCATGGCGATGCGCCTCGCCATGGATCTCCGCCAAAGGAGGACTTTCAAAGACGCCACCGCCGACATCATGGCGGACGTCTCCTCCTATGTCGAGGCCGTGACCGCCGCGCCGCCCCGCCCAGATGGGCGAACCAAGGGCAGGCCGCAGCCTACCCAGACTAGCCCTGATGCCGACGACTCTTGGGTGGAGCCACCCCCCAAGCGCATCCGCCCGGGCCGCAAGGGCAAGAACGTTTGCGCCTCGCGGGAACCCGGGCGGCCGCGGACTCCTTCGACCTGGGCGGCCTCACCTTCGACCCCGCCGTGGCTCGGGGGCAGGTGCTCGTCCCCTGCGCCACCACGCCAGCCCCGACGGAACGGCCGCCCCAAGCCTAAATCGGCTCGGGGACGCACGCCCAAGGACGCCGAGGACCGATGGCTCGCCGGGCACAGGCAGTTCGCCCCCTGGCACTACCATCGTCAAGCCATGCTCCAGGACGCCCAGGGCGTCCTTCACCTCCCGACGCCGGAGATCAAGGAGCAGCTTCACGACGTCCCCAAGGGCTACACCGCCAAAGGGGGGGCGGACGCCAAGGCCAGGCATCGCATGCTTGGCAACGGCTGGCACTGGGGCGTCGCCGGTCGACTCCTCGCCATCGTCATCTGGGCTTCCTGGCAGCAGCCGGCTCGTGGCGAGCCTTGGGTTCCAGGACGCCGGGGGGGTCGACTATACCACGGCTGGGACTTCGCCCCGCCTCCTCGGCCCGATCCTCCCTTTCTGGGCGACGGCCTATCTGAGGAGGAGCACTGGGCGGCGGCGCCTCACTTTCGACACTCTCTGACTTCACCGCCGGCCCTCGAGCCGGCCCTGGAGGGCGTGCTCCAATTCCGCGCCCACTGGCGCCACGACATGGTGCGCATTCGCCATCTGGTGATCCAGGAGTTGGAGGTCATGGTGCACGACGCCCAGGAATCCACGGCATCCTGGCTCGCGGCTCGGCCCCACCACGTCCGGGCGACCTATTGCACAGAGGACCGCCCTCGCCCTTTTCAGGGCCCCGTCCTCCTGGATCTACTCCAGGGGGCGAACTACCCTGCGGTCCAAGACCTGAGGGCCGACCTCGAGGACGGCTTCGACATGCTGGGTGAGGTCCGTCGGGCGCCGGGCTGGAAGAGCAGGGAGGACGGGCGGTACTCCAACCCCGGGAAAACCCATCCTATGTGGCGGCCAAGACGCGCCGGGACTCGGAGCACACCCGGGCCCTCAGGGATGAGCTCGTCAAGGAGGCTCGGCTGGGGCGCGTCATGGGCCCGTGTCGAGCGCCGGATGGATGGGGCGTCACCATGGCGTCCTTGCCGGAGGTGGCCGGTATGGATCGCCTACTCGAACCGCCGCGGGGCGACTGCTTCGCCGCGCTCTCCTTCGCCATCACCCAGCTCGACGAGAACGGGGACCTCAAGCTGCGTCGAGGCGAGGACTGGCGACGGTCCGGACACAACGCCACCATGCGGGCGCACGACGTCCCGACGCACCACTTCCTCGGGGACATCGTGGACATCATCCGCCGGGCGATGGCTTCGGGATGGGACCCGGTGCTCTTCGGGCACGACCTGCAGAACGCCTACCGCCAGTGGGCGGTCAAGTTCCCGGGTCACTGCGGGACGTTCCTCCCGACGGCCGCCGGAACCTCGTACCTCGTGACGAGGAACGAGTTACGACTATGTGTGCTAGCTTACCTATCACTACTCGAAGCTATCGAAGGTAGCTTCGCTAGAAACGAAGTTTCGTTCGCTATCGTCGCTCGCAGGAGAGTTGCCTCTGACATGCGAAGACAGGATAGCAGTGACTTGGAATGGCTACGACGGTGTGTCACCGTGGCCATTTTGGCTCAAGTCCCCCATCAGGGGGGGTAATTTTGAAGTAGAGGGGGGATAGAAGGGGAACCTGGCTATCTAGCCAGGCGAGAATGGCCTCCCCGCGCCCCCCTTTTGCTTCGCGGACGGCTAGCCCACAGTCTCCGGCTACTACGGTGATTCCGGCTAGTCCTGGGGGCGAGGAGCCAGGGAGCCCAACCGTCTTGCCCACGGCTGAGCCGGAAGAGCAGGACGTCGGGCCGGCTACTCCCTCCGGAGGGATAGGGACCCCCATCGGTCTTCCGTCCTTGTTGGATAGCGCTCTTGTGCAGAGCGTGCGGTGCTGGATAGATGCCATGAGCATCTGGCGTCGCGGGGCTTCGGTGTGCTTGAGCTGGCTACCCTCGGTCTAGAGGACGCGGAAGATATTGGGAACCAGGTGGCTGAGGAGCTGGGCGTTGGCTACGACGAGTACATCGGCGACTCGATCTACCTGTGGATACAAGAGGCCCAGGAAGCTAGAGACCTGGTGGAGAGCTCGTCGGGATACAGAGCAACTTCGCTAGCTTGGGCTAACCTCAGCAAGCGGCCGGCGATCGAAGGCATCGACCTTCAGGAAGATAGCGAGCCGGAGCCCCCGAAAGGGGATAGGCAGAAGCGCTTGGTCAACGAGGGCTCCCTGGTGCAGGCTAGGGAAGAAAGGCTACAAGCAACCTGGGCTATCAAGCTCAAAGAAGAGCTAGAATTGTGCGAGGCGCCGGTGCTGAAGAAGCTACAGGGGTGCCTGGACCCGGATAGAGCGGTGTTAGCGCTAGCGGGGAAAACCCGGGCTAGCACTCTCAAGCGCTACGTCTCGATACACGTGAGATGGCGGCTATGGCTACGGGAGGCTAAGAGTGGACGCCCCCCTGGGCTAACAGGCGCATACGAGAGCTACCCGTATGCATCTCGGAGAGAGCCTACTTCGAGGACCCTGGCTGGCTACAGGCGGGCTTCGACCTGCTAAAGAACCACGCGGGCTACCAGCGGGACTATCTCATGCCAAGGCTAGGCGAGAGAGGCGCCCTGGAGAAGAAGATGGCTACCTACGCAGATGCGATGGTGGCTACAGCGGGACTGCTGGATATGGTGGGGATCCCGACGATTGCCCGAGGCTACTGGTCGGAGCACAGTGAGAGAGCAGTGCTACCCACCGGGCTGAGCCTAAAGCCAATCCCGCCGGCAGATAGAGATATGCTAGGACGCTGGAAGCCCGAGGG